AGGCTAGATTTGGCCTCAGGTGACTAGTTTATAAACTATTGGTTGGGATGTGTGAACAACAGCTGATTCAACTTTAAAACTATTAGAAAGTTTCCAGTGAAGTACATTTATTAAGGAGTTGTTTTTCCACTTCAGAAGATGAATCTGGCCAATCATCTAAGACTCTTTCCTTTTGTGCAATCACCACATTCAATCTGTCCCCAAATCATGTCCGTTTTATCTCAGTCATATCTTTGACATTCAGTGCTGCGCTGCTGTTACTGACACCCTAACACAAGGTCCTGAGCAGCAAGCAGCCTCCAGCAGCAGTAGTGGCCTGCCCATGGCCCCCCCCACCCCCCCAGATGATAGAGACCGAATACCTTAGCATGGCTTACAAGGCTCCTTTTGATCTGGTCCCTACTTTTCCAGAATCATTTTGTGCCATGTTGCTCACATTCATCTTATATTTTGTCTATGCTGAACTACTATCAGTTTCTTGAGCCTACCTTTGTTTTTCTTATCTTTGTTATTTTGCACAAGATATTTAACCCCCATCCCCACCCTGTAATATTCTCCTTCCCAAGTCAACCTAGCACATTCTCAGCCATTTGTATAGATTCAGTACACATTTCTCCCAAATTCAGAAGGTTTATCTGAACTCTGTCTTCCTTACCACTAAACATGGTTAGATGGTTAGCTGGTCACACTATACTTTCTACCACTACTATACCTCAATATATATATGTTTATTAGTACTTGTCACACTATGTCTTTCTTCCTTGGTCATTGAACTCCTCTCCTGAAGGGCAGGTCTGTCTTTCCCATCTTTGTAATTCCAACATCTAGTATAGAGTCTGATTATTAAATAATTAATACTTTCTTTATAATAAAATAACAATGTAATGTTGCACCATGAGCCAGACAACAACCACCTTATCTAGAGTCTGATCAATATAACCCTATTCTTTCTTTCTATTTGAAGAAGATGTGTGGAAATGTATTTGGCAGATAGCTAGAGCCTAGTCATCTATTGCTATGTCTTGTCCAGCCTTTCCTCACGTTGGGAAATGTGGTAAGAAGAGTGGAACAAATCCTTGAAAGGGAAGACCAATAAAAACTGATGGCAATATGGCCCGACCAAGAGTGAGAGACTATTTTGTTTATTTTATGTGAAAATGTATAGATAAATTGTTTGTTAAACTGTAAAACAAACCACTATCTTATTGCCAATAGCCGAGTCACTTTGGTAACAGCATAGGATATGACTGCCATTTACTCATTTCTTTCTCATGTCCCCTAGTCCCCTGAATATTCACATCTTAGCAGTAAGTGGTCACCTTAGTTGTGTGATTTCCAGGCAACATGCTCCTAAACACCTAAAATTGCACTATTAGGCAATGATTAATGTTTTTATACATTTTAATACTACTTAGGAGCTGGTTTATTTTTCTGCAACCAAATGTGCCTAGAAATTGAAAGGAGATTCTCCACTCATATTGTAAGAAACATTCAGTTTGAGAACTTTGAGTTTAACTGATCTTCTATTAAAGCCTTACTGCCAAGGAAGGAAAGAGATCTTTGTGAGTATAAAAAAGATTTTGCCTTCTCTTTTTTGGCTCTAAAAGTGGAGCCATGAGCTGATTTTTAGAGGAAGACAGGAAAGGAAACTGTTGTTTAATTTGGATCCACTGTGTGTTAGAAATTGCAAGGCAGGATGTTGTAGTAGGAAGGACATGAGGTTTGAAGATTGACCATTTGAATTAAATTTCAGCTTTATCACTTAGTGATACCTTTAGGTAAGTTATTGTCGATGTCTCTGCTTCTCAGTTTTATAATCTGTAAAGAAGAGAGAGAATAATTTTTTGCCTTGATGTATTGTGAGGAAAGTGATGCATAATGAGAAATCAATAAATTTCCATTTTCTTTATTTCTTATGGTGGAAAAAATAACATTATTAAGTATTTTTAATACGATCAAAATTTACAGCAAGTTGCTACTAGTAAAGTAGAATGTTCCTAGCCCTGCATACATCTTGAAGTACTGACTTTAAGCTGAGGGTATTCATGCATGTGGCAGTATCTCCCTGAGTTCTGTCCGTGAGTTTCTTAGAGCTTGTGTTTTCATTCTGTATATCTAAACTTTATGTTGTACACCTTAAATATATATAATAAAAAATAAAAATAAAATGTGGTATATACACAAATACATACATATACTCAGACACATACATATAAACACAATGGATTATTATTCAGCCTTAAAAAGAAGGAAATCTTGCCATTTGTAACAACGTGGATGAGCCTGGAGGACATAATAAGTGAAATAAGCCAGACACAGAAAGGCAAATACTGCATGCTCTCACTTATATGTGGAATGTAAAAAAAAGTCAAACTCATGAAGGCAGAGAGTAGAATGATAGTTATCAGGGGCTGGAGAATGGGGAAAAAGGAGAGATATTAATCAAAGGGTACAGATATGATGAATATAAGATGAATAAGTACTGGAGACCTAATGTACAGCATGGTGACTATACTTAATTATGTATAGTATAATTGAAATTTTTTAAGATAGTAAATCTCAAGTGTTCTTACCCCCATCCCCCGCCACAAAAGATAACTATGTGAGGTGATGCATATGTTAATTAGCTTGATTGTGGTAATCATTTCACAGTATATACATATATCAAAACATCACACTTTATACCCTAAACATAAACAATTTTTATTTATCAGTCATACTTCTGTAATGATGGGGAAAAATCCAGCCTCCTTATTGTGGCTTCCAGTTGCTACATGATCTGGTTCCTGCTTAATTCTCAAAAATTATCTCCTGTATTCTCAACTTTCACCCCCACAGTCCTCACACCCCAGGACACTTAGGGATAGGAAAAACCTAAAGGATTTGGTAGAAAGTAGTTTTTGGCTGCCTCACAGAAGTCTTTATTACATCCAGTTCCTTAAAAACTATTCATTCCTAAGCTTTCCAACATTTTATTTACATCACCACCTCTCCACCAAAACAAACATATATTTGGCTATTCTTCCTTAAAAATATAAATGGTAGCATACACTCGTTGTTCTTCATCTTGCTATTTTTACTTAACATAGAATTTAGAGCTTGCTATGGTCTGATTGTTTGTGTCCTCCCCAAAATTCATTGTCGAAATCCTAACCCCAAGATGATGGTTCAAAGTGTGGGGCCTTTGGGAAGTGATTAGATCCTAAGGACACTACTCTTATAAATGGGATTAGTGCTCTTATAATAGATGTTGCTTTGACTCCCATGGATCTGTCACCCCTTTCCCCTGGGTGATGAAACCACAAAGATTACTCAAAGCCCATCTATTCTGAGCAGTGAGAAGCTCCAAAAGGGGTTAATGTCCTGCAACCCTCAGGATAGAGGCATTCCTTCCATTTGGGAAATTAACTATGAATTAGTGTTTCCTTCCCGCATTTATTCTCCAGACCAGGAAGTTACAGGAAGAGAACATAGGTGGGGTTTTTGCTAAGTATAGTTTAACAAGTTTAACAATAGAAGCTGGTAACATTCAGTAAGACAAGCAAGGTGACATTCCATAATGCAATTTGCAAGAAGTTAAGTTGACCCCCCAACAAAAGCTTGATTTTAGCAAACATTCTCTTCTTAGGCAATTTCCTAGTATCTTTACATATCAATCAGTAACCTGTCTGTCTTTGAGCCAGCAACCTTGCTGTGTTACAGTTCTTTATCTTACAACAGAGACTATAGCCTGGTGAAAATTTCCTGTCCTTTGCAAGGTTAACATTTGAGACTGCAAGGCTTTGGAAAACCGGGCCCTGTGAAAAACATTTGCTTTATGTATACTCGACAAATACTCTCTCATTTTCAGTGAAAAGAGCATAGACTTGGAAGACAGAATCAGGTTTCAAATCTTATTTGTTATGTGACTGTGGATAGAACTTCTATGGTGGGTTTCCTCAATATTCTATTCTTGGATCTTATTCTCCACTTTATCATTTCAATCATGCCTATAATTTCATCCATAATGGCAAACATTTATTGAATACTTATTATGAGCTAGGCACCATTTTAAGCACTTTCCTTGTATCAACTCAATTTTCATAACACAGCTAAGGTAGGTACTGTTATTCTTTGTAATTTTCAGATGAGAAAACCAAGGCATAGAGATCTTGAATAAGTTTCCCAAGGTACACAGTAAATTAATGACAGAGTTGAGATTCTGCCTAGACAGCATATGACTCCAGTGCCTGTACATTTAACTGATTCAGTGAACTACCTGTATATACTGATGACTTAAGTCCTGATATCTTTTTTGAAATACAGATATTTATATTTATACTCATAAAACTTCTCCACCTGAATCTGTCTTGGGACTCTCAAACTTATGATATTCAAAATTGGTCTTATCATTTTCCTTTTCTAATGTTATTCCTGACCTCATTGAATAGCCTTATACTTCATCCAATTGCGCAAGATAGAATCCTAGAAATAATCCTAGATTCCTTCTTCTTTATTCTTCAGATTCAATTAATGTTAAAGGTCAAATTCTGCTGACTGTATCATTCAAATATGCCACTGCTGCTGACCTGGCTTAGACTCTCATTTTATCTTTCCCAATGGTCCAGTACTTTCTTACAGGCAGGCCTCCCTACCTCTTGTCTTCTTTAGACCATCCCAGACCATTCATTGTAGACATTTGATTAGGGCACTACCCTTCTCATTAGTGTTCAGTAGCTTGTCCACTGAATAAAATCTGAACTCAATTATTTGTAATGAGAGGCATAGGATAGTGTTTCTCATAGCATCTGTGGTGAAAGATCAGGGTTTATATTTCTAATCTATCAAGGACTGATACTTCTATAAAATTTTAAGAAATGGTCACACACATGGATATTGCACCAATGCCAAATTGTTATAAAACATTTCTAAATCCTTATCCTCAATATCTGTGCTTATCTTCTTGTGCACCAGTAATGAACAGTTTGCAGACCAACAATGCAAACTGCTATGGACTTCACTTAAAGAAGCCCTGTCATATGAGACTGTGAATGGATAGTCAAAGTCTGATCATGAATGNCACTGGATGCAGATGACGTTTGTCCATGTCCAGTTCCAGAGTGCTTGGATCTGTCTCCTGACTGTTCATGTTGGCTGCCTTGTCTTTCTCTTGTGCTAGATCTGGAGTGCCCATGAACAGAGTCAGACTGCCTGTGTGCGGCCTCCTGCCCTTGAGGTGAGCCAGAGTGCCTAGATCTTTCTCCTGAGTGGCCACGTGCAGTTCCTTGTTGGTTCCTGTGTCTTACCTCAGAGTGACCATGGGCTGACACTGACGGGCTGTCTGGGTCTTCACTATCACTGGCCTGACCTACATTGGATCCCTGATGTCTATGGTCACTGGATCCCGATGAGGTTTGACCATGTCCAGTTCCAGAGTGCCTGGATCTGTCTCCTGACTGCTCGTGATGGCTGCCTTGTCTTTCTCTTGTGCTGGTTCCGGAGTGCCTGTGAACAGAGTCAGACTGCCTATTTGCGGCCTCCTGCCCTTGATGTGAGCCTGCGTGCCTAGATCTTTCCCCTGAGTGGCCACGTGCAGATTCTTGTTGGTTCCTGTTACCTGCCCTGGCGTGCCCGTGGGCTGACTCTGACTGGACTTCTGAGACTTCTGATTGTCCTTCAGTGTCACTTGCCTGACTGATGTTGGATCCATGATGTCTATTGTCACTGGATGCTGATGAGGTTTGTCCATGTCCAGTTCCAGAGTGCCTGGATCTGTCTCCTGACTGCTCGTGATGGCTGCCTTGTCTGTCTCTTGTGCTGGATCCAGAGTGTCCATGAGCAGAGTCAGACTGCCTGTGTGCGGCCTCCTGCCCTTGATGTGAGCCTGCGTGCCTAGATCTTTCCCCTGAGTGGCCACATGCAGATTCTTGTTGGTTTCTGTGTCTTACCCCAGAGTGACCATGGGCTGACACTGATGGGCTGTCTGAGACTTCACTATCACTGGCCTGACTGACATTGGATCCCTGACATGAATGGTCACTGGATGCCGATGAGGTTTGTCCATGTCCAGTTCCAGAGTGCCTGGATCTGTCTNTTTAAGAAATGGTCACACACATGGATATTGCACCAATGCCAAATTGTTATAAAACATTTCTTCTTGTGCACCAGTAATGAACAGTTTGCAGACCAACAATGCAAACTGCTATGGACTGCACTTAAAGAAGCCCTGTCATATGAGACTGTGAATGGATAGTCAAAGTCTGATCATGAATGATACGCTTGTGCTGGTCTCTCTCTTCTCTCTATTCTACTGCTGTGTATTGCTTTACCCACCTGGTAAGGTTATTATGGCTTGATATGCATTGGAGAAAGTTTTTGGGTAGGGAAGAGAGAGACAGGAAGATAGAGTCTGTCCCTTAAGATTGTCCCAGTCAAGAAAAAACTTAGAAACATTTAGTTATTTTGCATGCAAATTGTTGATTTACATGTAAGAGAGTAGGTCCACTGAGTTAAGGAAGAAGGTCAAAAACAAATTTTATAAGGGAAGGAGAAAGGACAGAGAAAAATTGGTGTTCCAAGTGAATCTTCTTTGCACCTTTTTGGGTAAACTGATTTTCTGTCAGCCAACAAAAAGGAGTGTCTGGTAATTCTGTCCTTGAATGGGAAGGGATATGAAAGAAAACAATTTCCGTTGTTTATGAGTTCTTCAAAAAAGTTTGAAAGTTTAGCTGTTGTATAGTACAATATCTGGCTATCTCTACTGTAATGTCTGTCAGTGTTCTTCCATTAATCCTCCACTTTAGTTAGGCCAGGTCTGCACTGTTTCCTCATTGTAATTTTTTATTCCTCAGCTTTTTAGTTAGGCCTGACTCCTTTAGAGAGGGAATACAAGAGGGAGCTAAATAAGCTGGTTATGAGACTGCAGGCAAGGTGGCGAAGTATATCACAGAAATGGACAGAAGCATTCTCCCCATGTCTGTCTGTGGCAACTCAATTAGGCCTGCAGCTTTTGCTCTATATGGAGTTTGCAGCTTTATAGGGGCATTTGGGGGACAGTACTTCAAGCAGGGAAAAAAAATACTGGTAGGAGGGAAGTACCACCTGTAAGTGGTTTGTGGAAGATAAACATACACATCATATTGCTTAAGGCTAATTAGAAAAATGCGGTTGTTTATTGCTTTTCATTCAGTCCCTGCTCACATTGGGGATCATTTAAACTTTTTTTTTTTTTTGTCTTTTTTCGTGTCCGGCAACGGATCGCAACCCTCAGTGTCATGC